TATTTTAGAGTCCATATCACGGAAGGACCCAACGTTTTGCACCCGAATTCTGACCAGCAGATAGGTGGGGCCCTGTTATCAGTAGGAAGAATGTTGTCGCATGGGCCCGCAGAAGTTTTCGTCAGAGCGTGTTTCCCGACCGCATGAGCCTGATCCTGTCACCCGCACGTTAAGTGTCTCACTCATTTTATGCAACCATCAAGCTTGTTAGACTTAGACCATCTCCAACCCAGCGGTAAATTTTGCCGCATTTTAGTGGGGATGAACAGCGCGACATTATATTTGGCGTCGCACTGTTCATCAACCGCATTACTGTTTTTTTTATTTTTTTTATTTTTTTATTTTTTTATTTTTAACATTTTACCTCTTGATTTGATGTATTTACAATTTGATCTCATTTGTTTCATTAAATTTATAAAACAACCCCAATGATATTTAAATTTTATAATTTTACCCCAATTATATAATTTGGACAAAATAAATTATTTTTTAAAAATAAACATAATTCTAAAATTTAAAAGACATTATTATTAATTATAATATTAAAATCTAGACATTATAAGTAAAGTCCCCATGAAATATAAAGAGCAATCCCAATACAGAATTCAAATATAAATTACATATCTGAAATACATAACATATAAAAACTGACACACATAATATAAAACTTCATTAAAATAAAACATAAAATACAAACTAAACATGGTGACGTTACATAAGATGGACAAGCAACTCTCAATAATCTGGTAGATCGGGGCCAGAGTGTCCAATATCATTGAAATAATTGCCAAAATTAGAAGCAGACCCTTGTTCTTGTTGATTTCTTTTTTGTATTATTTTAATCTGTTGAGCTCGAACGTAGGTCGCCGCCGACGAGAAATCTGCTCGACAGGCTCTGGCACATGCTGAGAGAGCGTAAACTGTCGTAGCACACGGTCAGGAACATGCATCTCCACAATCTCCCAACAAATCAATGGAACTCTCGTTCTCCACAAGTCAGGACTATCTCGGCAGATGGGTGCAAGAGAATGCATATCCAGCTCCGGCGGTATATAGGGTCTCCACTTGAACTGAAATAAAATAAAAATTTTATCAGTATCAACAACAAAACTATAATATTCATAACGACTTGAGATTTATATTTACCTGTTCGTGTTGGAGGCCATCAAGCTCATTGCGGTAAAACTCACGATGGCGCGTCGCTGATCGGTACTTAGCGTACTGCACGTTATACCTATATGTAGAATAGAGAATATATAAGTACAAATTCAGTGCGAATAAAAATTGTGTGTACAATTATACCTGTACGGCAAAGGAAACTGCCCCTGTAGGTCACGGTGCACAAGTAAAGTAGGTCGTCCAATATGAATGCGCTCCCATGACCAAATCTATATCAATGTGCAGCATCCCTTGAATTCTTTATTCTGCATCAGAGATACTCTACTCAGTTCTCGATACAAGTATGCCAACACCGCACTGCCCCACGACAGTGCGCCGCATACTCCAAAATCCTCTAGCAACGGCAGCCATCGTGCATGTACAAGGGTCTTGCTCGCATCAGGAAAGAGCACACACCCTATCATGTGCAATATGTAAGCCCGAGCATGGAACTAGAGCGTCTCCATACTGGCATCCTCTGGTATGTCGCCCTGAAATGTCTGACGAAGCCACGATAGCTTCATCGCACCACTCCTCAAGTCCGGAACCTGTCCAAGAAGCCGGGCACATACCTCCGGCCAACTAGGTAGTAACTCTTAATACAATAATTTTCAAAATTATTGATAATTTCCCCTCTAATTTCACAAAATTATTGATAATTTCCACACTAATTCTTCATAAATTTCACAAAATTATTGATAATTTCCCCTTTGATAATTTCCCCTCTAATTTTCACATTTATTGATAATTTCCACACTAATTTTCACATTTATTGATAATTTCCCCTCTAATTTTCACATTTCTTCACAAATTTCGTAAATATTTCACAATTAAATTCTAAAATCTAGATTTTTACATGTAATCACAATCAAATAGTGAGAGTATACAAAAATTAGAGAGTATAGATTTTTTTGAAGAATTTACCTTTTTTTTGGATCATTTGACTGAGATCTAAGCTCTGACGGCTGGCGGCGTCGGAGCGCTGGTAGCGGCGGTGGCTCGGAGCCGGCGTGGGCGGGCGGCGTCGTCGGCGTGCGTCGGAGGCTGGGGCGGCGTGCGCGATCCTCGCATGCGGTCGCGTGGACCGGCCACAGGGGCGGCGGAGAGCAACGAAGGAGAAATAGGGTTGGGGTCGTGGGCTGAGGCCACGCGCGGCCTTTTATAGGGCGAGCACAAAACCCACGGGAGTCTCAACTCCCGTGAGTTATGTCCACATTCCAGAGAGTTGATTCTGGGAATTTTGGACTGCAACTTCACTGGAGTTCAACTCCCGTGAAGTTGCAGTCCAAAATTCCCAGAGATCGACTCTCTGGGAATGTTGGACTGTAACTCCACGGGAGTTGAACTCTCGTGGAGTTTTAAGCAGAAATTAAACTTCACGGGAGTTCAACTCCCGTGAAGTTTAATTTCTCGATAAACTTCACGGGAGTTGAACTCCCGTGATGATTTGAATTTTTTTTTTACAAAAACCGATCTGTTTTCAGCGCTGGGCTGAAAACAGGTCGGTTTTTGTAATTATTTTCAAAAGGGATCGTTGTTTGCAAATAAAATCCAAAAAGGGGTGGTTTTAAAAATTTGTCCCCCCTTTTATAGTCATGTCCCCTTCAATCTCGGACCCCCTCCATTCCCGGCGACAGCTAGACCCGACCCGCTTCGAGTCTCCGTTCTCTGGCGACCGACATTCAATGCTCCATTTCGAGGGTTAGGGTTTCGATTTTCCTTTTGTGGAAATCAATCGGAGAGTGAAAACCTAAAGAAATCAATGGGGGTTTTGAGGGACAACAGCAGCTGGTGCTTCTGCTCCGGTGGCGGCAAATCGGAGAGAGTCCAAGGCGGCATATTTTCCGGCAAGTCTCCGGCGATGGCCTCCATCTCCGGAGGCGGAACTGGGTTCCTTATCCACCGGAGTCTGCTGCTCACTACTCACGCCAAGATCCCGCGGCGGCGGCGGAGGCGGCGGAGGTTCGAATTCATCGCGGCCGAGTTCGAGCTCGCTTGGTTCCTCACAGGTTTATTATGTCACATTTTAAGAAACCCTAAGTTTATGAATTGATTGCTTTAGTATTTGTGGGTGAGTTTTTAATTCAGCAAGCTAATAGTAGTTTTGGACATTTTTATGATGATTCATCTAAAAATTAAATTAAACTCTTGAACTCAGCAAAGAAGTGAGCCAAAGAAAAAGAAAGATTTGTTGGTTGTGCCTTTTGTAATATTTACGCTAATCATGATGCTTTTTAGAGCTTTTCTTTTTTTCGCACTTTATGTTATAACATTAAATGTAAGATTATGACAATGTCCTTTTGCAATGTTTAAGAGGTAAAAAAGAAACTTTGATGAATTATCTCCTGGATATATTTCATCAACCAGAAAATAGTCATCGACTCATCATATGACGAAACAATGTTCATATCAATGCATCGCTATCAAAATTTAGCTATATAATACTTTCCTGTTCCTCATTAACAATGTTCAGGATAGTAGCTGTTGTCTGAGATTAACGACTTGATGTGTCATCGAAGTATAATAACTACAGTTTGAAATAAGAGCATGGAGAATGTGTAACAATAAGAATTTCATGTACATTCATCAACAGTGGAAGATGCTATGTTCTCGGGACATGTTACCATAAATCAATATATAACATCTCTTTGGTTAGGTGTTTAGTGTATCCATATATATATATATATATATATATATACACTACAAAATTGAAGTCGGTGGGACCCTCAAGCTTTGATGGATATGAAAGGAATTTGATCATAAGGTATATGTCCATTACTTTGTTCTTTAATGGATTCTCTTATTCTTTCAGCAAATAAGGGTGGAAGATCCGAAATGAATTTTTCTTTCCAAATAGGATTATTACAATCATGTAATTGGTAGACCTTGGAAAGGAAGACCCGAAATGAATTTTTCTTTCCAAATAGGATTATTACAATCATGTAATTGGTAGACCTTGGAAAGGAAGACATCTTTGTACCATCTAAAGTCTGTAAGGGATTACAATCATGTAATTGGTAGACCTTGGAAAGGAAGACATCTTTGTACCATCTAAAGTCTGTAAGGGTTTTACACCTAAAATTCATGAGTTGTTCTCTAACTTTATCTTGAAAGCTATTAGCTAAGCCAATAAAGTGATGGTAAATAGAAAGGAGTAAGGTGTAAACAGCATCACTAATATAATGTCCGTTTGCATCGCGAATCGGCTCTCCTAGTTGGTTTTGTTTATAATTATTTAAAATGTTAATTTTATCTGTTGGAGTAAGATAATGATCCTACCATCCTTGCAACTGTCCAGAAAAGGAAGAACATATTCCACTTGCAATGTTTTTTTAGTATTACCGTGTTGTCTGCAAGCATTAGCGTAAATAAGCATTTTTTGTAAAAGATGTATAGTTTGGTATTCAGAATATCCATCAAGATTCCATTCAACAAGAGAATTTTCATCAAAATTTGTCTTATGATTATCAGTTATTTCTTCAAATTGCATATCGGCTGGAGTGGGTTTTCTATAGTAATTCTTTGAGCTAGAAGGTTGTTTTCTGATGTTTTGGATAGTTTCATTATAATCAGAAGGATAGTCAATTGTATTATCAAGCTGAGTTTCATATTCTGACAAAACATTGATGGCGGGAGATTTGTTTAAAGATAAGTCTTTTAATCTCTTAGTTAATTCTTCAGTAAGATTACTCATTTTTTTACTTTGTTTAAAAGGTTTATTATTACCTAATTTAATATTCTCAGTGAAAGTCTGAGGAGCAAAAGGTAGCATAGATATCTGATTGATGATAGGTTTTTTCCTGTCGAGAAGCATGTTTTTGATCCTATCTGTTTGTTTACCTATGGTTTGAAGATGAATGTTAGTAAAATTATTTTGCTCAATAACTAGAGAGAGATGTTCTTGTCTGGCTGTGTTGGAATTTGACCCAAGAGTGTTTATAGGAGTAGCTCTTACTTCTTCTTTACCTTTACCAATTTTTATTGGTTCAAGAGGAGGATGTAAAGATTCAATTTCTTTATCCTTTTCTATTTTCCACGTATTTAAAATCTTTTTTAGCATATAAGCTTGGTTTTCAGTAAGTAAATGTTTAAGAGAATTCTTTTGATCTTCAATGTAAATAAACTCATACCATAAGAAAAAGGGTATATTTTTTCTAATGGTTTTCATACAATCATAATATAGGGTTCGAATTGATGACCTAAACTCCTCTTCATAAGTTTTAAAAAACCATTCCTTTTTGTGTTGGTTTTTAGGGGAATTAAATTCTTTTCTTAGGGATTCTTTATCAATCTCAAAAGGAGGTGTACCATCAAAGTTTTCAATAACATTAATACTTAGTCTTGATGAATCAGAATCATCATAAATGGCAATTGGCTCCATATTGTATTTAATTCCTATTGGTTTTTTGTGTCTAAAGAAATCTTTTTCTCGAGAAGGAATTGAAGAAACTGAGGTACGTCGTTCGTCATTAGCTTCAAGAGTAATTTTTCTAAACGAAGAAAAGTTAACCTCGACATCACCATTAGGATGTTCAACAATTTTTTGAAGATTAGAATTTTCAGGGGGTAAGGTTTCAATGACTTGACTTAATTTCCAAACTGAAGGAAGTTGAATTTCATTCCATTTTAAAGTCCGTGGTACAACTAGATTATTTTTAGCGTGGGTAAGAAATAAAGTAGTTGCTCCTTTCTCAGGGTTAACCTTAGCTAAAGGTGTGAGCGTGTTCAGGGCTTTATAGCAGATTCTATAGGCTAATGCTATATTCTCAGAATTAATATCCATGTTAAATCTAGAGGTTTGAAGATTTAAAGTTAGAACTTTGAGGATGTCAGGATCTGATAAAGAAACTGAAAAGTTTGGAAAGACATTAAAGAATATCGGACCATTGCTCAGGCTTAACTCAATTAGACCTATTAAAGAGTCTGTAAAAACAGAGAATCTTCCGTCTCGTAAACAAACAAGAACAAATGTGTTGATGCCATTTCTAGTAAGGGGTCTAATAGACACTTGAACAAGACCAAGATGAAAGAATTTAAGAGTAGGGTCTTCAGTGATTCCTTCAGTGATTCTTTGGAAATCTTTATCACTAAGTAATTGTAATTTCTCTGTGTGAGAGGTTATAGTTTTTGTTTTTTCAATGATTTTAACGTGATATGATGTTTTTAGTTTAAAACATTCTTTACAATAGATATCATTAGTACTAACTTTAGGTATTTTCTAATTTTGAATGCTTTGATCAATATTTTCATAATCTAAGGATTCTGAGTTTTTAACCGACATAGTTCTTACATAGGTATTCTTTTTGTCAGGAGAGAGATAGCTTAGAAACTTAGACATCTTAAGAAAGACTCTAAAACTTAACCTGTCAACAGCAATGGATGAACACGGACAGAAAAGCCCTAGACGCACACAAAGCTTAGTGGGCGAAAACCGTGTGAACTGCGACAACTAGTTAAGAGAATAAAGACTTAAAGAAGATAGAAAAGTAAACAAGGTAGATATTAAGCAAAAGTAGAAACTCTAAGAAGTTCGCAGTGTCCCCACCAGTCAACAACATCGGATGAACACAGAACAAAGCTGTGTAAGTTGCGACGAAGGCAAGAAAAATAGAACAATGGCAGAGAACTAGAAAATGCTAGAGATCCTAGATCATACTAGAAAATGTAGAGAATTAAAATTCAATTTAAAGAAAGCAGTAAAGCAAGAGTAGTGCTTAAGATTAAAACTATTATAAAGTAATGAGGCTAAACAATAAAAGGCTTAGAATTAAAGTTCTAAAGAAGGTGCTTTAAAATTAAATCTATCAATCATACAGTATTTGTAGTAGTTTTTTACTACAAATATCTACAAGTTATTTCTCACAGTGTGGATATACACCGTATTACGGGGCTTATGGTTTCACCACCGTAGACCGACTCATCCACTGGCTAACTTGGCTCTGATACCAACCGTGATCAGGACTTGTTTAGCCTTGATACGATAGAGCTACCTCGTGGGGAATACTGTGTAGACGGAGGAGAGGATATAAGTATTGTTTATAACTATATCTTCTTCTTCGTTCACATGTGTATTAAAATTTAAAGAAGAAAATACTATACTGAATAGTAAAAAATGAACAGTAACGGTATGAACAGTAATACCGAAAAACGGAAACAAACTAAAGTAGTAGTATTTACATAAGACGCTTACAAACTTGAAGGAAAACTTAAACACTTACAAACCAGACGTGCGGTGATGAACCGTAGTAGTAGAGCGCACCTTTATCTTATAAACACTCAGAAGAAAACTTAAAAACAAACCTCCCTCAGACTTAGACTAAAACTAAAAACTAAAAACTTAAAAACAGAGGGATTTCTCTAGAGAGGATCAGACTTCACTCTCCAAAACGCCTCCCCCAACCCATCAACTTCTTCTCCTTTTATAGACCTCTTTAGGAACTATGCAAAATATTCCTTTCATATCCATCAAAGTTTGAGAATCCTACCGACTTTAATTTTGTCAAAACCTAAGAGATGTAGAGTAGCCTAGCCTTTTGATAAAAATTGCTTCATCTTTAAGCATCCAAAGCAGACTGGGTGTAGACATATAGGCTGTTATTTCATTTGCAGTTTGCTTCTTTTAGCTGTGAATGAAATTTATGTAAAAATTAGTTATTTTTAAACTTAGAAAAAGATAATGATTGATCGACTTAGTGTTTAAGTCGTTGATATTTAATCAGTAGTTATCATATATTAATGGTATATGAATTTTTCCATAAGTTAATGACATGTCACATGTCATCCCATCTATTAGAATTTAAAGAAAAGTTTATAAATGTTCTTTCTAATACTGAAGACAAAGACTACACAGACTCTTTTAACACAAAATTTTTTAATAATAAAAGGCACATTCGTCTTTCATATATTAAAGAATTCTCTCGTATCCCTTTTGATAAAAGATATTTTAATATACCAGTATAAATGGATGAAAATCTTCTGACCTTTAATATATGGTAATTACTGATTAACT